GTGTTTTTTTATGTTTTGATGTTTGATGTTTATATACTTTTTCATGTTCATTCATCTTCTTTCAATAAAGTTCTGTTCATGGTCAATCTGGAATATTCTTTCTATAAGAAGTTTAGTATTTTAGAATTTTCATTGATATTTTATATATGATGAATGTTTGTACTTCGAGGTGTGTGCTAATTTGTGATATACTGATTTTTGCTATTTTACCTAGGATAATGTTACATAGGAATATATTAGTTTGGATTCTTTAATTCTGTGTGGGAATTGTTTGTTTTGGACATAATATAACATTCTGCTGTGGACATTGGACATTGATTAAAGCTGAGTTGTGGACACTTGTGTTTCGAACTGTGAATTAAACTTTAGAACATTTGTAAATTTAGAGTCGTGGATAATTTCAGTTTAACTATACTTCCATATTTTTCTGTATTGTTGTAAGAAAAACTGTTGTTGTTGTTTTCTTTTAATTAAAACATGTAAAATGTGTTGCTGCGTTATCTTTTCTGTTGCGTTTAGCTCTATACAAAGTAAACTTTTAATGTTTTGCGAGTTACCTGCCGGATCCATGGACAACATCATGTTTGTTCTCGAAATTGTGCAATTTCCTTCTCAGTAAGTAGAAAGTCTATATGCGGAAGCTGGGGAACCATCGCTTTATCTTCGACGTAAAAAACTATCACTTCAATATGCAACTAGAATTTCATCTAATAGGAAAAATCCAGCTAAAAATATTATTTTCAAACCAAGTTATACTGAAAAATTTGTTAGCAAACCAAAGGAAATTAAACCATTAGGCCTTCGTTTAAAAGATGATTTAGATAAACTTAAAATTAATCCAGACAGTATCCTTCAAAATGACGATGAGGATGTTCCACCTTGGACTTATAATTCCCCGGAAATAAATATTAACCTTTCAAATATAAAAAAGGCATCAAATTCACCTGAATATTTCAAAGAGAAGTTTCTAGCAATTAAGGAAGAACATGAAGATTTTATACATATTTATACGGACGGTTCAAAAGAAGGTTGCAAAGTAGGTGCGGCTGTGTTTGAAAATAATTTTACATCTAGTATGAGGTTACCAGATAATGCATCAATTTTTTACTGCTGAAGCAAAAGCTATCGATTTAGCATTGTCATACATAGCACAGCATACCCACGATAAATTTGTGATATTTTTCTGACTCGCTTTCTGTTTTAATATCCATTAAAAATAAAAAATCTGACAATATCATGGTAAAGAAACTTCTTTTGCGATTTCATGATATACTAAAAACAAAATATGTTTAAATTATATTGGATTCCAAGCCATGTAGGAATACGAGGAATGAAAAAGTAGATGCTTTAGCTAAACAATCATTAAATTTTCAAAAAACTGACTTATTGTTACCTGCTTGTGATTTTAGACCGGCTATTAAATAAACTCGTATCATCTGAATGGAAAGCAAATTGGGACAATGCCGTTTTTAATAAACTTCACGATATAAACCCATCTCTTGATATGTCACCATCTCTATCTCTGTCAAACCGCCGTGATCAAAACAGTTCTTCTTCGATGCCGAATTGGACACACTAAAAAATTACCCACTCTTATCTCCTCACAAATGACAATGCCCCTTTCTGTGTAGGTTGTAATGAAAATTTTACTGTCAAGCATTTTCTTCTTGAATGTCATGATTTTTCACAGGCCCGTAATAGATTTTATTCTGTAAAATTCACTCAAAGAACTTTTTAATACAATTCCATCAAAAAACATAATTGATTATTTAAAAGAGATAAACTTGTATTCTAGGATCTAATTGGCTCATTTTTATTGTCATTTACAATGTTTTACATAATATTTTAAGCCTATTATAGCATTCGGCACGATATGGCCAGTTATGTGTTGACGTGCCGTAAAATCCAAACAAACAAAACAAACCTTCTCAGTAATGGTTCTCCAATAGATAAAATTAGAAACCGCATCTCTTTCAAAATAATGAAAGCTAGTCGATGATTGGTTGTTTGAAGGTTACTGCCTATGGGTGAATGTTAGATCTTAATGCTTAGCGTAATTTAGGAGCAAATTTTAATTGGCATGCAGAAGAACACATTTAATAATTGATATTTGATAAGCCTATGCAAAAGCATCTACACGTAACAGTGGACGTCACTAAATACGGAATACTTCAACTTTGTTAATAATGTGTACTTTTTATATCAAGTATTATTAAATATAGTGCCCAATTATTGATAAATAAACTTCAGACAGTGCCAAAAGAATTTTGGAAAGATGTTTTTACTGGTTTTATCAAGTTGCATATACAGTACCCCCAGGAATTCGAGTGAATGTTGCATGAAACATGCATGGCAAGAGGTACAACTCTTAACAGAACATCTACATTAAAATAGCAGGCATTGTTTCTCTTCGGTTATAAACCAAGTAATTGGATGACTTTGATAATACTTACAGCACTGAGCTTTGCTCATTCAACCAGCTTGCAACATGGCAAAAAGCCAAGATACTCACTATCCAGTCTGGTTCATTGTTGTTTGCCATACTATCAGTATTTAAGTTGATTATTCTTCGAACGTTTGTTAAGATTATATTTGACGCAAACCTTTTTAATAGAGTATATTTTTTTAAAGGTTTGAATAAGGTTATGTAACAATGTTGAGAATTCTCCTTTCTGTTTGCAAGAAGTTATTTTCCGATAATGCAATATAATAACTTCTGAAAAAGAATCACTTTTACTTATATTAATACGTTAAAATAGTTCTGGCAGTAGTAACGTTTTACAATATTGGTAAGATGCGATTGGAGCACTTTTTATTATGCTTGTAGAACCTTAAACGAAATCATTTTGTACCTCCGTAACAGTATATCTCTATATATTGTTTGTAGATGCATAAACATTTTGTATTGTAGAAAACAAAATTGAACTTTATATCTTTTATTTCTTTTTTTAAAAGGCCATTTTCTTGTTGTTAATGAATTAATTTCATAAAAATTTGACTACACAAATCTTAGCATAAAACCGTCATGTTGAGCAACCCGAGTTTTACCTTAACCTTCACGTTAGTAATTTTCATAAAATTATCCAAATCTGTAGGATGAATGAATGAATTTAATTTATATATTGAAAATAAAAATTTCGGACAATATCGGCATGTGATGTTACAACAGTATGACCTTAAACTTTAATTGCCCTCGACCCTCTAGGACAAATATAAAAAAATAATTTGAATTCCATAAAACGTATTCTTACAGCACAAATATGTTTAATATTTTGACCCGGTGACAAGTAAGCAAACATTACCATACTAACATATATGACTTATTGATCGTTTACATAATGAAATTTGCTAAAACTTTGTTATTAATTGATATGTTTGGTTTATACTTGGATAAAATGACATTCTGTACAGCATTATTAAAGTGACATTATGCCCATCCAATGGTATTTAGTTCGTGAAGAGGTCAAGGTAAAAATCAGTTTAAATTTTCCCATAATTACTTTTAATTTTATATTTCACTATATAACGCACATAACCAAAGCACATTTCTATAAATAGCCATTGGAAATTACCTGTAATGTCAATTTATAAAAAGGGTGGGGCATTCTTTTTATATTTAGGTCATGTCTATATTTTATCCTAAATACTTTTCAAAATTCACAACTGGTTGGTCAATTCACCATTTAGAATAAACAAATTTTTTGAAAAAAATAAAAAATTTCCGGGCTCAATGACGGGAAAAAATTTGACATAATGTCATTTTAAAATTTAAATTATTAAAAATATACCTTGAATTAAAAGGCCCTTAAAAACAAAAAGGCCTCTTGAGAATTTCCCTTTTAAGAAGGGAAAAAAGGTTTGGGTCCCAGTTTTGGTTGTTTTTTGGGAAATTAAAAGCTTTTTGGGCCTTGGAATGGGGGATTTTTATCACTTTCCGGTGATAATTCTATTTGTTTTAAAATATTTACCTGTTCAAAAAAACAATATTATTATTTAAACACAATTAAAAATATTTTTTATTTTTAATCCGGGATACCCAATTTATGAAGAAATTTTGAAAAATACTTTTTAACGTTTTTTCATTTTTAACAATTTAATTTAAAAAACACCAAAATTTTTCTGCGGACACAAAGTCCATAGAGGGAGATCCGAGCTAATATAAATATATTCAACTCGTTAATAAATTCAGTATTACACTAACACTCATTCAATATCCTCTACATATTGTATTCACCCTCAAGGTACTTCTAAAATTCTTATCTGCAAATAAGCAATGTCAGCAGAATTTATAATACCGGGTAATATGACGTTATGTGTTACAATGCCAGGTGATTTGAATTACCCAAAAACTAGTTTTGCCATGTTAACACTTAATTTTGGTGAAAAATTGTTGTTTTTTGACATTTTATATATTTTTTTAATGATCCAAAAATGATTACCAAAATTCCATGTGAAGCGTGCCGTTACGCCTAATTTTGGTGAAAAAAAATGTTGTTTTTTGACATTTTTTATTTTTTAATTAACCTTTTATCCCATAAGCATATTCTCTGTAACAGCATGCTGAATCGTAAATTTACCCCGAAGCATATTCTCTGTAACAGCATACTCAATCGTAAATTTCCTGTTACCATGGCAATGGGGGGACGTCTCAAAATTGCCAAGAAATCACTATTTTGCATTTTTTTCCACAAAAACGGATTTCCATGCTGCAACTTCTCAATGAATTGAGATAGAGTAAAAGGCTTTTCAGCGTCGGTTACTAGTTTACTAGTTTACCGTAAGATCGGCCTTAGGCCTTTTTAAGCCTGTCAAATGTCCCAAATTTTCTTGGCGATGGCAAGGACATCCGCCCCCTTCACCCCCCCCCCCGCCCTCCCAAACAGAAGGAGACACATCCCCTTCTGGTAACCCTTTGATGTACCACTTAGATGGGGGCAGCGCCATAAAAAGTTTGGTCACTTTTTAAACAACATTTCTCAAACGAAAAACAGTGTTCGGGGCCTAAATAGGGCATGTTTTTACAATTTGAGGCCTCAAAAAGGTGGGGGTGGGGCGCAAAAAAGTCAAAACACGTTTTTATGAGGGAAAAGGTTAAAGACATATTTTACTCAATATAATAACAACATAAAGACATATTGCACTTGTAATAACAACATATCGTTGAATTTCATCATCTTCTATACTCTGATGACCTTTGTGGGCTTATATGAAACGTCACGTGCAGCTGAAATCATGTTTATACGTTTATACTTATCACTTGAATAACTTCATTTTGTACATGTTGTATTTATGAAGAACTTGCAATAATATGAAGAGTAATGGTTTCTTTAATGTTTATATTAATCACTTTAAAACAACTAACTTCATTTTGCATTTATACAAGGCATGCATTATATATTGTTGCGTTGAATGTATGTTTGTTTTGTTTGATTGGGTTTTACGTCAGACTGACACAGCATATGCCATATTGCTACGGTTCCAGCTTTACTGATGGAGGTAGACTTCGGTGCCCCATCCGTGCATTATTTTGGGCACGAACGTGCGGGCACCTCAGTAGAACCACCGGCGTTCCGTAGCTGGATAGGTCTTGAATGTAAAATCCGTTAAACGGTTATAAAATGAATGAAAGCGGCACACGTGCATATTTTCTGTAAATTAATATGTTTTGTAATGAGTGGATATATTTTTTTATCACACACCCGTGCTGATTTTTGGGACTTCGTAATAATGGAAGTGTACGGCCGTGCATATAATTCGGTACATGTTAGCGTTATAACTATAGGCGCGTCAATGAAAAATGCCTCTCTTTTTTTCACTTTAAACGGTCTTTATTTTGGTTATGTGATAAATAGAATATTAAATTCGTGTAAGTTCATTATTGAATTTGTTGAGCTCGTTGAATAAAATTATATTATGCCCGCCAGAGTCTCGCATAATATGATTTTATTCAACTCGTGCAATAATTCAGTTTTGAAACAGTACCCTTCGTTCAATAAATCCTCTTTATATACAAGAGTACAAATTCAATGATATAACCTAGTTTAAGGATTTTATTTTTTCAAAACAATTTGTCTAATAACTTGTCCCAAATATACAAAACAATTTTATTTAATTAGTTAACAGGTATATTTTGATGATATAGAAATAGCAATAAAGGTTTCCTTATTATTAACGATGCATTCAAAGTTTCATTAGGTTATTACTCCTTATCTATTTTAATCTTTTCGATTTAAGTTCTTTAAAGATTTGTTTCTTAATCTGGACGCGGAACGGTTTGAGTAATAAGTGTAGTATAGAAATTTACGATATTTGAATTGTTATATTAAAGAGACTCAATTGAGATCTTTTGACAGAACGGGGTCGGAAATAAAATTTCGAGATAAACGTTCCAGTTGATGTAGGTCTAGACTCTAAGCTTGTATGCAAAATTTCAGATCATTCACTCACTCCGTTTTTTCGGAATATTAATCTAATGGTGAAAAAATGATCAAAATTTGAAAAGCGTTGCAACCCTGTTCACTCAAATTGGGCTAAGAATAGTACACATTACGACTTTCAATTTATTTTCGAGTATATTTCTGTATCATTCTGCTTCAAGTGCCCCAGCTGATCTATATAAGTAATTATTGTTTTATATTTTGAAGCTACTGTGTGTGAAAATGCAGGCTTATTCAAAATGCTAGAAATATGTGTGGAATACAATTTAGAAAATAACAATGCGCATTACAATATTAACTTATCAAAATAATAATCATGAATCAGACAGGATTGCGATAATTTTTTTAAAACAAAATCATTGGATACAAATATCCTTTGTTAGTTTATATCAACTTTTCAGATTGAGACCTTTCATACAGACTGTTAAAGATAATTACATCACTTTAAGTCCCGATTTTTAATAGATCTTTCAACAAAAAAGGCTTCCAAGAAAAGAGAGTTGTGAAATTTGACTTTCAATTCATGAGTCATAATATTTTATGTTTTTAAGGAATTCGAGCCGCGCCATGACAAAACCAACATAGTGTGATTGCAATCAGCATGGGTCAAGACCAGCCTGCGTATCCGCGCAGTCTGATCAGGATCCATGTTGTTCGCTTACAAACCCCTATTACAAGAAGAGATACTGATAGCGCAAAGTATGGATCCTAATCAGGATGCACAGTCTGGTCTGGATCTATGCTGGTCGCAAACGCACTATGTTGTTTTTGTCTTGGCGCGGCTCATTTATGACTTTTTTCTAAACGTTACCTCTATGATGATCTTTCATCAACAACGCCATGTCATCTTTTCCTACAAATAAAGTAGTTCACACAGATTGTAAAATAATAACGCATGATAAATATATATTACTAGTATTAACTAGCGGTACACAATTCTCAACACTTAATAGTGCTGGCGTCAATGATCCCGAAGGACCAGAAAAATATAACAACACTGAAGTGAAGTACGGGGCAACTTTTTACAGCTGCCACACAGCACTTGACACCTGCTGTTGTGAAGTATAAAAATTCTGGAAACAAAGTGATCCCTCGGAAGCATTAATCACAACAAAATTAAATAAGAAATGCAGACTCTGTTTGATTGAGTCTGTACATGAGAGATAATGAATAAGTGCAACATCCCTCACGCCCCCTAGCACCGGCTTGAGCGGTACTCAATTCTCAACACTAAATAGTGCTGGCATCAATGATCCCGAAGGACCAGAAAAATATAACAACACTGATGTGAAGTACGGGGCAACTTTTTTCCAGCTGCCACACAGCACTTGACACCTGCTGTTGTGAAGTATTTAAAATCAGGAAACAAAGTGATCCCTCGGAAGCATTAATCACAACAAAATTACAAAAGAATTGCAGACTCGGTTTGATTGAGTCTGTACATGAGAGATAATGAATAGGTGCAACATCCCTCACGCCCCTAGCACCGGCTTGAGCGGTACTCAATTCTCAACACTTAATAGTGCTGGCGTCAATGATCCCGAAGGACCAGAAAATATAACAACACTGAAGTGAAGTACGGGGCAACTTTTTACAGTTGCCACACAACACTTGACACCTGCTGTTGTGAAGTATAAAATCAGGAAACAAAGTGATCCCTCGGAAGCATTAATCACAACAAAATTACAAAAGAATTGCAGACTCGGTTTGATTGAGTCTGTACATGAGAGATAATGAATAAGTGCAACATCCCTCACGCCCCCTAGCACTGGCTTGAGCGGTACTCAATTTTCAACACTTAATAGTGCTGGCGTCAATGATCCCGAAGGACCAGAAAAATATAACAACACTGATGTGAAGTACTGTAGCAAAGGCGTATATCTAATAGAGCATCAAAACACGAGGCTATCTGATTTGTACTATCAATCGGATTGCCGAGTATTTTGATGTTCTTTCTTTTTTGCAACATAGAAAATAAAAAAAAACAATCTCTTTCTCCGGCGTCGGAATATGAAAACCCAGAAAAAAGTTTATTCAATAGCCGAAATATGTTTTTTTCATTCTCCATTTCCCTGTCGTCACAACAAGTAAACCCTCACTCTGTGACATATGTCTCGATTTTATATGCAAAGCAAATCAATATTTTCTCTTATTTCTTCCAGGCTAGGGAAATGAGAAGGTGAAGAATACACACATTATAAATGGCCAGTAAAGTATAGACTATTAAAGTATAGACTAATTTCGGTTGACAAAAATTGTCGACTGTGTACTGTATAAATATTTGGAAAATGATGTCTTACCAGATATTCTTTCATCTTCTCTTACATGTCTTAAAGCGTCATCATAATCTGAAACTTTTCGTTTAAAAAGTGAAAAGTTCGGTGTTTTTTTTAAACTTATTTCCTTTTAGATCAACACTTGTAGTCAAAAGTTGGGCAAACATTTATAACATTTAGACATAACATTTTCATAGCTGATAATGCATTGAAATGTTAATTTATCGTAATTTAATTGATCAAAACAGATTGATTTATTTAGTTTTACTTTCTCATCATACAAAAACACATACTGATATGTATGTGAGTAATCCATCATACAGAAAAGTATTGTAATATAGAGCTTTTTCAAGCTCACAAAAACCATCTTCTCAAACTTTAAATACACATATGAAATTCAGGTCTAAAAAGTTTCTCATCCAAACTTACCCATTTCATTCTCCATTTCCAACACCTGAAAATATGATAACAATACAATCAAAATTGAGGTTTTATTTGTGAAAACTGTCTGTGCAAAAAACAGCATAACATTCTTCTAAATGGTTCTCCAGCATTCCAATTTTCAATATGTCTTTCTCACAGGCCTTTCCCTTGAAATTTTGCCAGGCACAGGGGGCAAGTTTCCGCGGAAACATTTTGTAACATATACCTCAAGAAAAATGACTATTTTTAGCATTTTATCACATGTTTGATTTACTAAAATATATAATTTAACTTTTGATTAGTATTTCAACCTTAACACCTTAACACCACAAACTGAACTTGCCAAAGCATAATATAGTTGTTGTCAGAAACAAAATTAGAACAATCATCTTCATATCCATATCCAAATGTAGCATTAGAATAAACTGAACTTACCAAAGCATAAAAATAGTTGTTGTCAGAAACAAAATTAGAACAATCATCTTCATATCCATATCCAAATGTAGCATAAGAGAATTATGTAAACTAATATTTAATGTAGATTTTCAGTTTGAAAAAGATGTTGCATATGACTGTGAGACGGTTATTTATGAATATGGTACGCCATTTAATAGCTATTTTATATTATATCAACTTTGTAACATAACCGTGCAAAAGTATCATTTGCATAAATTCAATTTAATTTAATGTTTTTTCCTATTATATATCTTGTATTAAATAGCATTCGCATTCAAATCATCAAAAATCGTGCGTGAATTAGACACATTTATACTTTTTTTTAAGTTTTGTAAACAATATTCTAATGAGAATCGATAAATGTATGAAGTTTACATTACATATATATTTAAATAGAAATACCTTTTTGTGGAGAAAAATTTAGTATAATATATTGAAGCAAAATACAAATGGACAGGTATCTCAAATATTGATAAAAAACATAAAAAAGTAGAACTATGATAGGTTTGTTTCTTGACCGATTCATTTTACTGATTCAACCATCAAAAACATACATGTACTTGTGTTTACCCCGAAAAACATTTTTAAGTAATTTTTTACTCTATTTATTTATAATTACAATATTGAAAAGCATGTAAAATACAAAGAAAATGAAAATATTCAGGACACACATTTGTTTTGCTGCTGTTCTTTTTAAACGTATAATAACCTTTAATTATTTCATTTTATTCAATTTGTATTATTTTCGTTCAATCGTTTTCATGTAACCGCCCAACATGTGCTACATATTAGACAATCAAGTATCCAGAAAATTCATACTCTTTGTAACGTCATAGATCAACTCTATCACCTCACATGACAATCCCGCGCCGAATGTGCTTTTTGCTTGCTGGGAAACGGAAGCATAATGGTTTTCAAACAATAATTTTGGTAATGAACATTAAAGTTTAAAGTGATTACATTTTTGTATTGGACAAAAAAAACAACAAATTACATACTTATTATTAAAATGATGGTACTACTGTTACATCTCTTGCTCACTGCGCTTCGTCTAATTGTCATCTACCATATTTTTTATTTTCAGTTTCCAAATCTATCTAATTTATTCAAGGATTGTACATGGTCCTGAAAGGAGTGCGCATGGTGCTGCAGGACAGGATATTTTTCACCGTTAGTTATGTTTCTATAAAAGTCGAGGAACAGAAAAAAACGCAACATTTTTTTTGAAAGTTTGAAAGTTTTCAAATTCTACAAAAGTAGGGGGGAAATTATAGGCTGCAGCTTTTTGTTCTTCAACGGTCTCGTAAGATATATCGCCGCGAGTAATACCAAGTTTGATCCGCGACTTTTTGTGCAGACATCTCCAGGTTTAAAAAGTCGAGGCTTAATGCTCAAAACCGTTGTTTTTTTACAAGGTATGCATGAATCAAAATATCGCGGATTATAATGTAAAATCGGCTACCTAAAGTAAAGGTAAGGTAGCTATATAGACAGAAAATGTCGCGTTTTCCTTCGTAACACTCGTCTTTTCACGACAAAAGTGCGACAGAAAAACTAGGGTTTCTATAAGTCGCGACATTTTATACAATTTTGACATACAACCTTGCGGATTTAAAACTTGTCTGCGACATTTTAGAAAGTGGCGGTAATTTCTCGCGGCTTTAAACTGGACGCTACCTCATTTGACATAACTTGTCTCGACTAAAGTGACTTGTTATATTTCTAAAATGCCAGATCTTCCGTTGTACCATTCAGTAATTCATTCAATACAGAATACATTTTAATATTCAGTGTGTTTATCTAATATATAACTCGCATATGCCATCTTATTTTTTAAACATATGCAAGAGAAAGAATAACTTGAAATGAATTATATCAGAAATAATGATATAATCAAAATTTTCAAAATGTTTAAGTCAATATTTTCTTAGATTACTTTATACTGGATAACTTAATAATTTTGATTGGCTCTCAAGCTTGGCCATTATGAATCTATTTATTTTTTTATTTTATTTTATTGACTTGTGTTGTTTTTTTTGTTGTTGTTTTTTTTTGTTGTTTTCTTATTTTTTAAATTAAAAAAAAAAATACTTGCAATATTTTCTATAAACTAAATAATAAGAAGGAACAGTGTTCATTAATTTTTCAAACTTAAATGTATTGGGATTTCTATAATTGATGTTTGGATTGCAATGCTCGCGCATTTTCTCTGCTCTTAAGGTATCCTATGTCAGTTTCCAGTTTCAATTCTCGTTCTGAATTTGATGATTTATTTTATATACCGGTAATTATAAGTTGACCCACTAACATATCTCTGAATTTCAACTTTTTTTTCTTTTTGTTTTGAAAATACAATGACATTTACAGTTTAATGTGTTTTCTATTATTTGATGTATAACATTAATGTCGTAATATGTCATAACATGATTTCTGTAACTATAGACTACATTATTAATTAACGTTTTAATATATGTCTTTTATATTGACTTGGACTGCCTGAACCCTCGATGTCTTCATTATCTTGCAGACGTTGGAATATGTAAGTACATGTATAATAATTATTGAATCAATCCTTGCTTACATTTTCAACATGCGAATCAACGAAATTATATGATCAGAGAGCCACCGCAAAAATAAGAAGAAAAAAATCGTACCTTTCCTACATTAAATATAAAATTGAAAATTCAAAGGTAATCAAATCCAGAAACATTATAAAACAAGTTTGGTATCAACTTACAGATAACGTTTATAGTAATTATCGTCGGGAAATAGTTGTTTTTACTTAATGCAAATGATGCGTTCTTTTTAAGGGGCGACAAATTTTCCATTGTCTTTTTAACTAGAACATTCTATAATTCTTAAATTTATTAAAAAAGTATCCTAAACAAATGATAATTTCGCGCAGGATTGAATCCGTATAATTTGATGATGGGCCAGTTTATTCTTACATTCCTGTCAATCCTGGTAAATATAGTACCATCAGGATAAAATTGAAAATCAAAACATTCCACAGACAACTTTTTTCTGATGATCAAATATATGTAATAAATTTACAAAAATTACTTTATTTTATTTGGATAGCAAATAAATATACCCATTACTCATTATACCAAAATGTCACGAATTTTTTGGACTAGCAATTGTTAAGGGCCGATTTGGTCAGGGGCGAAACGTCCTGTTTGCTCGAGGTGATCTGCTTTCATTTAACGGAATCTTTTACAAATAGGAAGGTTATAAAGGTGCGCTCTTTAACATTTGTACCAATGCATCTCCTATCATTTCCTTGTGAGGACTGTTAGGTTTCTTTCTTAGCAGTCGTTTATCATGCAGACTGCATTATGCAAGAAGAAACCGGAAACTAAAGAATGTAATTGTACACATATTTGTACATGATTATAATGTTTAAAGGTAAGATAAAGTTAATAAGTATAGTCTTTTCAATATGTCATTATAAGTTTATTGGTATATGCCGCTTTTCATGGAATGGCACTAACCTGTCACATTGAAGGTTTCATGATTACCACCATATGAAGACATCTGCGATGTTTTAAAATTCCAAATTTTACCAGTTTATGTTAAATGTTGAGTACTGCTTAAGCCGGTGCTATGGGGCGTGGAAGGTAACTTGTACTTACCAGTACCGTCCATGAACAAACTGGTTCAATTCAACCGAGCCTGCAACATTTTCAGATTTGCTGTGTTGGGCTTTCTCTAGGGAGCGTTTTTTCTATCTATTTCATTTCTACATCAGCGTTGTTTGTGCCGTGTGGAGGCTGTAAAAATGTCCCCCGTGCATTCAATCAGGGTTGTTATATTTCCGATCCTTAAAGATAGTTCGGCACGACATTATTGTTGTGCTTGTGGTATTTATGTTCTTTCTTTTTGGCTATTTTTTGTTGGGTGGTTCAAGTATTCATGACTTAAATACTGTTGAAACACACTAAGGAAATATGGCCTGTCTTTTTAATTCATCTTGTGACGTCATATCTGTGAAATGCGGGTTCTTGTTGCTGGGTCATATGGGGGTTGCGTTCATTGAACGCCACCTCTCCTTGTTGATCTTGTTTATCATATTTTATTTAGTTCTGCCCATTGTTTTTCTAGTTTAGTGCACACTCATTTTTTACTTGGGGACCCTATGCCGCTTTTCATGGAAAGCCACTAACTTACCACATTGAAGGATACATGATTACCGCCGAAT